GTTCCACTTTTCGCGAACTGAAAGCTATTTATTATGTCTTGCTTTCTTTTGTTGAGCACCTCAAGCACAAGAGGGTTAAGATTTTTACCGACAATCAGAGTGCAGCCAGGATAGTTTCCGTTGGTAGCTCTAAGGTCCATCTTCAGTCGCTGGCTCTAAGCATTTTTCGTTTTTGTTTTTCACACGGTATTGCTTTGGAAGCTCAGTGGATTCCAAGGTCACTCAACGAGAGGGCTGATCTTTTGAGCCGGTTCGCTGACAAGGATGATTGGCGTCTTAATCCGTCCGTGTTTCGACTTGTAGATGCCAAATGGGGTCCCCACACCATAGACCGCTTCGCTTCCTATTATAACGCTCAGCTTCCGCGTTTTAACTCTAAGTATGCTTCACCTGGTTGCAGCGGTGTTGATGCCCTGGTACAGGATTGGAGTGGAGAGAATAACTGGGTTTGCCCTCCGGTGGGTCTCGTCGTGGAGGCCGTTCGAGTTCTCACTGCTTGTTCCGGTCGCGGGTCCTTGATTATTCCTGAATGGCCGTCGGCCTATTTTTTGGCCTCTCTTACATGATGGGCCCTCACGGTTTCAGTCATTCGTCAGGGAGGTTTTTGTGCTTCCCGCCATAAAGGATCTTATTTTGGAAGGCCCAGGTCAGAGGCAGATCTATAAGTCTCACCCGTCCGTTTTTTTCACGGTTGCCCAAAATTCAGAATGTTGGCTTTGCGCGTGGATTTTGGGTGAGTTTTTCGTACTGTCACGGATAGTGTTTTGAGCCTGATTTGGCATATTTTGAGCCTGATTTGGCGTATTTTGAGCCTGAATTGGCATAGTTTGAGCCTGATTTGGCATAGTTTGAGCCTGACTTGGCATAGTTTGAGCCTTATTTGGCGTGCTTTGAGTCAATGTGGTCTCGACACGTGTGTTTTGTGCCTACATCGGTATTTTTGCTGGAATTGGTCATTAGCGCAGTAATTGTTTGATTTTCACGATATTTTCTTTTCTTTCAGATGTTCTGAGTTCCGGGATTTGGCTTGAAGCAGCCTCATTGTCCGATTCCTCTTTGAGTGACATGGTTCCAGGCCTTATTAATCTGCAATTAGATGCTAAGGCTCCGTCCACGGTGCTGAAATACAAGTCTGGCTGGTTGAGGTGGCGCGAGTGGGCTCTGTCGAAGATTGGTGTTCCCGTTATTCCAGCAAAACCTTTGCATATCGCATTGTTTATCTCCGAGCTAGCTAAGCGTTCTTCCGAGAATAACATCGGTGTATCTTCTATAGAATCTGCCGTTTATGCTATTAAGTGGGGCCACGCAATGGCCGGTTTTGAGGCTTGTCCTGTTAGCCATCCCTTAGTAAAGTTTGCGTTAGAAGGCGCCAAAAGAAGGCTTGCCCGACCTGTTCAGCCTAAGGAGCCGCTGTCGGTTAGCACCGTACAGGCGATTGCTACGCATTTTGCCTCAAGCGCTTCACTTTCCGATCTTCGTTTTTTATTTATTCTTTTAGTTGGTTTTGCAGGCTTTTTTCGCATTGACGAGATTAGGAATATAGCACTTCGTGATGTCTCAATACATAGTGATCATATGTCAGTTTATTTACCTCAGCGCAAAAACGATCAGTATAGGGAAGGCCACACTGCTTTTCTCGCTAGAACCGGCAAGGTTACTTGTCCTGTAGCCGTGACCGAGCGGTTGATTAAGCTTTTGCCACAGTCTTCCTCTGCGTTGCCTTTTAGTTCGCAGAATTGTCAAAAGCCAAGTCTAAGGAGTATTTTCATTGTAGTTTGGGTGTTTCTGTTTCCACTTTAAGGGAGGAATTTAAGAAGCATATCAGACCATTTGTTAGTGATATTTCTAAGTACGGCACACATAGTATGAAGTCTGGCGCGGCTTCAAATCCGGCTTGTAGGAAAATAGCTGGCGACTTGTTAGATATTCATGCTGGTTGGAGGTGTGAATCCACTAAGCACAGATATATTAAGCATGATCTTAGCGAGCGTTTAGCCGTATCTAAGAACTTTCCATTTAGTTGTCTATGATATTCGTATATATATTTTATCTTTATATATTTTTCAGTATTCGTTGGCGATTGTTTAATCGGAATTAGATTTTCGCTTTTGCTGGCTTTGTAATTTTGAGCAATTTATTTAATATATAGAGTCCTGGCGGGGACGTAAGATGTGCCTGGCCCGTCCCAGATTTCCTGCCCTTTTTTTTTACGGGGTTTTTTGGGGCAGGTTTTTTCTAACCACCCTGGTACGCTTACATGTAGCTTTAGTTTAATTACCTTTGCTGTAGCTATGTTCATTTTTTGACTATCATTAAAGTGGGTTATGGCGTTACTCCCAGGCCATATCCAATATTCTCCAGTATTTGTTTGGCTATTTTCGTTTCTTGTTTTTCTATTAACTTCTGGTAAGTGCAGAATGCATATTTCCAAGCACAAAATCAGGTGCTGATAACCTTCATTCACAACTCTTGTGGTCAAAACATTCAGCCTGTTCCTCAGCAGTTTCAGAAATATAGGCTGGGATGTTTTTTTTTTATACAAGCTGTTCTTCACATAGTTCAGCGTCATGGCATAATGTGTGCAGTCTTCCTCCATTTTCTCTAGTTCTGCACTGCAAAAACAGCCGAGCCACCGTGCCTGTTCGTTGCGTGACATCTCTGGAACCTGTTTCTAGAAAGTCCTGATAACTTTTTGGGCCTGAAAGACTTTTATATGTTTGCCATGTTTACCTTCAAGATCAAATTAAGTTTAAATAATTTTGAAAATGATAAAATAGAATTATCAGGTAACGAACAAAATTGACTGGTTTGTGGGCTAGGGAATGTGCTTACAATTTAATTTCTAGTCTGCCATGATACAGCATTCTTGTTCAGCATGTGTGCAATGAGCGCGCTTGGCTGACTTCTGCAAGTCTCACCGAGATATGATAATTTAGTATGAGAAAATAGAAGGGATTCCTGTCACGTAATGAGTTGGGTTAATTGTTGGCTTGCATTAAACCTATGTAAAAATGATATTTTTTAATAGTACATGTAAGTAGATTTAAGTGTGTAGCATTAAATTTTCTTGAATTTTTTTTCAAAGGTATAAGAAGCATGAGAATTGATTAAAAATCATGAGTTAAACCTCTATGTATCCTGCAATCGCCTGTCTAAACTGTACCAAAATTGTCATATCTTGGTGAGCATTCAGAAGTCAGCCAAGGGCAGTTATTGCTGAACAAGAATGTTGTATTATGACAGAGTAGAAACAATAGAAAACTCCTAAAGCACAAACTCAGCCAAAACGCTAAAAATCTTCAATGTTTACTCAAGTTTAGGCTTATAGAAGACAATGTCACAGTTTTTCAATGACCATGAAACTCAGAATCCAGATTGTTAGTTAATCGATTGTGGCCCTGAAAAAATTTGAAGGAAAAAAAACTACGATTTCTTAAGAAAATGCTTTTTTTTGTGAGAAGGACTCTTAAACGCTGACAAACGTCAACAAATAACTAAAACTATAATTTCTGTATGTTTGCATTGCTCGAAATTGCGTGCATTTACAAGGCCCTAAAGCTTTTTGCTGAGTTGCAAGGACCCATCTGTTATAAAGATCCCCAAAATAAACGGACAATTTTCATAGTTTATTAGATATAATCGTGCAAACCGCTGAATTTCTCGCATTGGGTCTTGCGATTTTGGTAACTCTGTTCAGTGCAAGGCACTAATGGGCACTAATGGGCCTGATATGTAGCCGAGAGATTTTCACGAAAAAATGCCGTCAACAGCAGAATTTCGACTCAGAGCCCAAAGATGCATGCAACTATAACCACGTGACATTTACTCTGATCCCCCAAAGTTTTAAGCTATATTGTAGATTGATCTATAGGTTATACATGCTATATGTTAGACTTACGATCAAAGTAAATGTGGGTATACCAGAGAGCTTCAAAGTAGGATAGTACCCCCACAAAAAAAACTTGGGTCGAGTCACCTTAAGTAGAACTACCACAAGTTAACAATTTTTCTTTGAAACAGAGGTGAAAAGTGGCAGGAAATATTTCTAAGGCCACATTTTACTGATATTGAATGGAACAATTGTTTTACAAATGTCATATATTCACACGGAGTGATCCTAAGAGAATCAGAAAGAAAAATTTAACGATTTGATTGACAGGGTTATTCACGCGTGTAAAGTGGGCATGTAGCGGTAAACAGTACCTGCGCAATGATCAGAAAAGAAACAAGACCAATACACATACATGCCTCGTACCGCTTAACTGTTCGAGGATTTGTACAATGAGGTAAGGCGGGCATTTTTAAGTCCCTTTTTTTCGTCTCTGCTTCTCCTTTTTTCTTTATCTTACTTGTATAGTTTCTTCAAATGATTTTTAAACGTCTTTTCTAGCTCAAAGCAGAACAATGGCGAAAAAAGTTTTTAAAACAGTGGGTCTCTCGTAGAGATAACATACGATGGCAACTGTTGTGGAGATTTCTTTTAGTTTAGGCAATCTCAAGTAGTCAAGAGCTCTTTTTGTCTTTTTGTCTTCAGTGAGACAAGGTAAATATCAGGGAACCTCTATATTTGTAAATCTTTTAATACTGGACCAGTGAGGGCATCATTGCTTTAAGAAATTATACGAATATATTTATTCTGAGGCATAACAGTACGATTCAGGTTTTTGGCATAACTTGATGCCCGATACTGAAACACAATATTAACTAAGATGTAAAAAAGGAAGAATCCTAATATCAAGCCTTGAGGAACTATGAGTTATTGAATTAAATGAATTGATGCTTGTTACAGTTAATTAACTCGCAAACCAATTGTAAGAAAGCTAAGAATAAGCTCAGGATTTGAAAGTCCGGTTTAGCAAACGAGAAGTTCGAAAACAGACAATTTGAAACTGTTGTTGTTCTCCCCATCAGGTCAAACGGTACATATGCCGTTTTCATATTCGCCCTCTATCCAAAAGTTACATTCATAGATCACTGCCATTAAATAGTGAAAACAATAATTAGACCATGAATGCAGCTGAGGGGGAAGAGTTGGATTCTTCATTCAGAAACTCCTCTACTTTAGCTTCCATACTTGCACGGTAACCTTCCCTGTGATACGCTGAAAACATACTTGGAGTAAAGAACTGATTATTTGTTGAGTGCTGTGGAAAGGCCTCGCACATCGCTTCAGAGAAACCACGGCATGTATTTCCATGGCAACATTCGCAGCAACAAAATGTTAATCGGTCGGCTTCTTCGGCCTTTAATTCGGGCCCGTTTCCCCACTGATCTGCAGGTAGTTCAACACTTATGTCATGCAGTGCGTCCGCCCACGTCACATACTCTTTAGTTTTCACAGCTTTGTTAGGATGTCTGGGAACAATGTACAGAATTTCACCTTCCCCGATCTTGGTTTTTCCTTCACTGTTAATGTTTTTCTGGTAGTATTGCACCTTGAATCTGGCAAATTTAGGGATACAAAAAGGTGTTAATTCCAAACAAGCGCCATTATGTAACGTGTGAAAACCATCCCTCTCGCAGGGGAATGGATGATTCTGCAGACAACACTGGCTTTCATGCAAATTTTTTCCACCTTATTGTATGGGTTTAACTTTCGTTTTATTTAGGGTACGGCCTTTGTTTCAGAATGGATTAACATATTTATCCATTTTGTATGACATGGCATGGAATGTTTACAGCAGGCTTTACTCAATTGTGCGTTGAATGGAATATGCCGTTGAGATCGTGGTTGAACGTAGGGGTATTTAGACTCTGATACAAGCACATAAAAGCTTGTGTTTATTCACATAACGTCTTAGACCAAAAAGCGAAAGTGACGTCTCTTGTGCGGTACAAGATAAATGAGTGTAATATCGAAGCCAAATTGAGCTTACGGTTCGAGGTGTGATGTATTAACTAAGTTTATTTATTCTTTTTAATCAATTCCATGTCGAGTGGGATCTTTTTATACAACCGAAACCTTTCCGCGGGTTTTACTTCTACCCCAAAGAAAACCCATGTACCAAAGATTACAAGAAACTGTGTCATTCATTTATGCGCCTTGGAAAAAAAGATTGAGGCGGACAAAAATGCCTCTTAATTGATCAAAACTGGGGAATTAAGCAACTCATTTACTGGGGTAGGAAATCTTTCAATGTACAGCTAGCGAGCTCGTTGTTCGAGCCAGTTCATTTCACATTCTTTTCATACCCATTTCCTACAGTTTTGATACACACCTATAACTTGATGGCTGTGATCCAGGCATTCTCTCAACAAACTTCTCTCGAATATCTTCAGCAATATCTCGTCCATCCATTCCTGAAAATGAGCAGTCCAACTTCTTCCTGGCCATATTTAAAGCTTCCAAAAGAATGCTTCCATAATCTTCATCTAGGATCGTCTGTCCACCATCTATGGACACAATTTTCTGCAGCCTCTTCTTTAACAAAGGCAGAATTCCCAGGTTTTCAATATGGCCTCCGTCACTCAGATATAGAACCGCTGGAGGATTGGGACCTTGGTTGGTAACTTGCAGCGCGTTGCGCACGTAAGTGACAACAGGGATGTTGATAGTAAACCATCTAACAAATGCAAAGGAGATCATTGCAGAAAGGTTGTGTGTTAATTCAAAAAGCAGTTGCAGAACGAAAGCCTGAAAACTGGGACTGGAACCCTGACCTCTGCGATACCGGTGTAGCGCTTGGTGGCAAGCCATGATTTTTCAGTCATTAAATTGCTTCATAACATAATACCCAGAAAGGATGAAGATCAAGTGATGATCATCGCAAAGAAAAACTGATTGTAAAACTGCAATGTTCTCTAGGTATCAATTAGTTCATTCATTTTGAATATAAATTTGTTTTTATTTGGTTCATTACTCGAATTGTCAAATAAAACACAGGAGATGATTTTTCAGGGCTATTCGATTCTGTCAGAGTTCTGAGACTCGCGAATCTAAAGAAAGCTCAAAACGTAAACTGAGCTATTTGGCGCTCAGGGGGCGTATATGAAAAATCTTTTAAATGCAGTGACTATAGTTAAACGATGTAAACAGCTTGTTTATACTCAGTAGATTATACTCTATTTGACACAAGTTTCTTCCTCGTAATTAATAAGCGTCATTCCTACCCGGCGATTCTCTCCAGTCTTCCGCGATGCTTACTCCCTGTGGGTACAAGCGCTATCAATGAAAAAACGATCGAAGAGAGGAATAGTACTAGAAATCCAGTTAATATGTACATATCATTGCGAGTACGAAGATAAGCTGCAAACAAAACCATCAAAGAAACTCCACGGAGCATCTCTATCAAAAACGGCAGAATCTAAAAGAAAGAAAAGAACATCAGTGAGCGCAAGATTCCCAGTGAAGGGTTAATTGATAATCATAATTATACTAAAGCTAATTTTTCTAGACGTTTTCTCGGTTGAACTAGGAGTCGTTATTATCGTTTATTTAATGTTATGTTCCAGTTGAACTGCGAAGAACGACATGGTCAGGATGAAATGCGAAAATATGGTGTTCACTCGTGTACTTACATGTTGAAATTGTTGTGGTAGACGAATCTTGGAATTGAGGATCTGAATGAGCCTGATTTTCGCTGGGTTCACAAGCGTCCCAAAGTCAATGCATGTACTTACCGACGCCACTTGCATTTCGTAAGGAGTTGCTCAAAATTTTACTGTGCCCTAACGCGTTAAGTTAATCTTTTTGGTGCGACCGGTGAATAACTAATAATAACCTGAGAGTCTAAGAAGCTAAAACGTCTGTCTCAAACCTATTGAGACTGGGCTTTTTTTGGCGCTCCCAGGTCCGGGGAAGTAACGGAGCCTCCCCCATCTTTCCCTCATCTTCGCAAATGATAGGGCCCACAAATTTGACATCATTTTTTCAACATAATGACCTAAAGTGGCGCCATTTAGAAGTCATACCTTTCAATTTATTGGCCAAACCTTTATGCGGCTATCCCATTACTTTTCTAAATGTGATTAAGTTATAAAACGATAGGAACGTGTCCGGTGACAATCATGAAATAGCTGCGCCTTCATCGCGATCGATGATTTCATTTGTTTTTTAGCCTAGAGCCTGGATCACACTGACAGATATTATAATAATTTTGATGAAATAATGCTGGGTTAAGTACTGATTTAATTGATCTATACACAAATAGAAAGTTCGCCGAACTGGCTGTCAAACCTGGGTTGAGAGCGAAACGTCAATATTGACGTACAGGGTGCGACGAGTTACGAATATTCCAGAAAACAATTGGAGGAAAAGTCGCTAAGTAATTAGCGGTCATAATTTTTAGAGGGCCCCAGTCCCCAAGAAACTCTTCCCTCCCCCCCATACTCCCCGCGAGGCCTTGGCCTAGTACCCACACCGCATCAAACTTTGCTGGTTGGTAATCTACTCTTGTCCTCGTTGAAAAAAAAAGTAGAATGTAATGTATATATCCTATTGAATGAAAATCCTTACCTGAACGCAGAAGGGCCTCTTTCTCTCGTGTCTTTCATCAGAGACGATTGATGAGCCAGTCGACAACCCAAGTAGTACTTTTAAGTCTTTGAAAGGTTCCTCATCTCCCTGCATGCTTCCCATGTGATAGTTGAGCGCCGACGCAGACGTAGCTACTACATCAGATAAATACACATCGACAGGCATCAGCTTTCCATGTAGTCCCCCCTCGCTCTGACGGCGGTCAAGACGCTCAATACTTTGCGAACTCATGGTAAGGACTTCGTAGTGAGCTTCTCTAGGAGAAGGGCTTCGTTTCCATTGGTTACTCGTAGTGCACCCTATGTACGTCGGTGTAAACTCATCTAAATCAGCTAACGTCAAAGCCTGGCTGGACCTTATGTTTCCTAGTTTACCATTTGGCTGGTAGCAGGTTGGACAGTAAAGGAAAAGGTTTCGCCAGCTGATTCCTTCGCATCCACACTTGCCTACTGTCTTTGGATAGAAAAATGCCTTCTGGATAATCCACCTGCCATGAAGAGAATGTGAATCGCGAAAATTCCCTTAAAAGAATCAGTAACAGAAACAAATTGCACAAACAAATTCCACTCTTAGGAAGGTTGGATTCTACTAACAGCATGGCATGGGGTCCTGGGTGACGGACTAACTCTTTACTCTTACGGGGTGTATTTCATTGAGTTACGCGCCAGGATGAACAGTAACACTTTTACCCAATCATAACACCTCCTCCCATGCTGACCCAAAATTTTAAGTACAAAGGCAACTTACTGTGGGCTCTTCGTCAACTTGGATAGTTGAGACTGGAGTGTCCGTCTTCGATAAATATCGTTGTTTGCATTATGGAGAGTCAAAAAAAATTGACTGAAGAATCGCAGTGGATAATTTTAAGTAGATAGTGATAGTTTTAGGAAGGTGTCCGTGTAATATAGAGATAGCGACCAATTGGGGGGAAGTTACTGTAATTCTCTCCAATTTCATGGCGTCAAGACTAACTCAACATTGCATCAATGATTGGTTAATGCCTTTATTGATCAAACGCTGGACACTTAGTAGTTGCAATCCTGGTCCTCGCCTTTCGCAATAACACGACAAAAAGGCAGTATTTCTTTCTAACATTTGTTCTAAGACTGGGTTAACAGTTCCCATAGAAAAAGGTAATAATATCTTTTGAAAATCGTACCTTACATAGACGTGTCCTAGGCGTTGTTGAATGGTAACCATGGGAGGACCTATCCAGTTCAAAAGTACTGATATTCCCAGCAGCAAATCGAACTCTTTCTCGTCAAATACAAAACCCAAAGCGCTCTCCTTGTAGACTCGCCAGAAAACAACAAACGAAACAATGTATATGCCAATCATAAGTGTGGCAATTGTGCGGTTAAGGGGAAAAGAAATCCAAACGAAAAACAGAGGAACAAGAACCAAAATTTTCATCCAAAGTGAAAGAACATGAAGAAAATCATTTATGAACCAAGGAAAAAAGACAAGTGCGAAGAAGATGACGCAAAAATAAGTAAAAAATTGAAAAAATTTTTTTGCCCTTGGAATACAACCGCTAAGAACATGCGACAGAAAGGCAATCAAAACGGGTGTTATGAACAAGACATATCGATCAAAAATCGCATCTGGCGACTTTTGCTCTTCCCTGCACTGTTTGATGGTTATGTTTGGGTTGTTTTGAATTTGTTGGGAACACGACTGATCAGCTGCTCTGAGAATGCTGCCAAATAGGAAGTCTATAACATAAGCCAAAGGAAACGCCATCGAAGCCCAGAGAAGCACAGGTACAATAACAGACACAAAGAGTACAACAGCGATTAAGGCCATAGACTCCAGGATCGCTTTACATGGCCTTTGACAATGACAGATCAACCCTGCTTCTTGCCTCATGTGGTTGAAAAAATCCTGATGCCATTTCTTGTCATCTTTTTTATCATGTCTGTATTTCCAATCAACGTAAGCGGATCCCGTGTAACCGCCTCCAGAAACGCAGCTCAGAAAGTCTATCTTAACGTTCTTTTGAAGAAGTCTCCGTAAGGCTCCCGAACAGAAAGCCGCTGACCGAATTCCTCCACCAGAAAATGCTACTCCTATTTTCGCCATTTTTATTTAAGATTGATGATGTTTGTTTTGCCTGCAAACATTGAAAAAGTAAAGTAGGTGAACATGCCATAGAGGGACAAAAAGTCAATTTCCCTTAGTCTCCCCTTGCAGCTTAGCACGAAAGGCGCCTGTACTGTCTGTCATAGCTCACGTTGGTTCTCCATTTCCCCCATCTCCCTTAGAGAGTGAAAGAAAGATTCATGAACAACACACGACCAGAAATAAAACGACTTGACGTCTCTCTCACTCCAATTCCTCGCAAACCAAAGAGAAAAGACCCTGGCCATGGACAAGTTTTGAGTGTCTTAACCCTATTTACTCCTGGATTTTTTTCAACTTTTTGAGATCGTGTAAGGCGGCTGCGGAGGGTTGTCTATGTAACTTTTAAACCGTTCCTGATTGTAACAGTATGTACTTATAATTTATCACATCTAAGTATAGTTTGATTAACGCAACGTCATATGTGACGTCATTAGAACTTCAAATTTATTGGCAGAAGTAATATTTCTCAATTCTCTCCTCTGTAATTTACAAGGACAGAATACCAGAACCAAAAATCCAAGTAAACCACTTAACACGGTGCGCGACATAAAACGAACTCGACGAGAAGTGAAGGAAGTAACATGAACAGATTTATTGAACCAGAGATCAATGTTCCTAGCACAGAGGTCACAACTTGATACAGAAGAATCGACGGGGTCGATTGACAAGACAAAAGGTCCTTAAGTTGTGAAATCGGTACAAGTCGTACAAAGTCGGTTCGAACTGAAAACGATAAAATCGAACGAAAACTTAGCTAAAAAATACATAGAGTGCAAATATATCTGACTAAAAACCGATGATACCAAATAGCGAACGAGAACTAAATAACACTAGAAAATACATTAAATCTATAATATGGCGCGCCGTTTGTTTCAAAATTATTTGCAAAGGTATTGTTTAATGTGGTTGTGACATATCCTATAAAATGTTCCTGTGATAGCATCAACCAACCATTGTTATTTTTCACCTTGATATCATTTTACGGTTCGTGATGTAACATTTTGTACCTTAATAATCGTTCTACTACCGTGACATAACATTTTCTACCTTGATATCATTTTACTACCGTGATGGACCATTTTCTACCCTGATATCATTTTACTGCCGTGATGAAACATTTTCTACCTTGATATCATTTTACTACCGTGATGAAACATTTTCTACCTTGATGTCATTTTACTACCGTGATGGACCATTTTCTACCTTGATATCATTTTACTACCATGATGCGACATTTTCTACCTTGATATCATTTTACTGCCGTGATGCAACATTTTCTACCTTGATATCATTTTACTGCCGTGATGCGACTTTTTCTACCGTGATGCAACATTTTCTACCTTGATATCATTTTACTACCGTGATGCGACATTTTCTACCTTGATATCATTTTACTGCCGTGATGCAACATTTTCTACCTTGATATCATTTTACTGCCGTGATGCCACTTTTTCTACCGTGATGCAACATTTTCTACCTTGATATCATTTTACTACCGTGATGCGACATTTTCTACCTTGATATCATTTTACTACCGTGATGCGACATTTTCTACCTCGATATCTTTTTACTGCCGTGATGTGACATTCTCTACCTTGACATCATTTTACTGCCGTGATGCGATATTTTCTACCTTGATATCACAGTTTTACTGCCGTGATGCGAGATTTTCCACCTTGATATCTTTTTACTGCTGTGATCAAACATTTTCTACCTTGATATTTTTTTTCTGCCGTGATGCAACATTTTCTACCTTGATATCATTTTACTGCCGTGATGCGACATTTTCTACCTTGATATCATTTTGCTGCCGTAATGCGACATTTTCTACCTTGATATCATTTTACTGCCGTGATGCGACATTTTCTACCTCGATATCTTTTTACTGCCGTGATGTGACATTCTCTTCCTTGACATCATTTTACTGCCGTGATGCGATATTTTCTACCTCGATATCTTTTTACTGCCGTGATGTGACATTCTCTTCCTTGACATCATTTTACTGCCGTGATGCGATATTTTCTACGTTGATATCATTTTACTGCCGTGATGCGACATTTTCTACCTTGATATCATTTTACTGCCGCGATTCAACATTTCCTACCTTGATATCATTTTAATGCCGTGATGCAACATTTTCTACCTTGATATCTTTTTACTGCCCTAATGCAACATTTCTACCTTGATATCATTTCACTGCCGTGATGCAACATTTTCTACCTTGATATCATTTTGCTGCCGTGATGGGACATTTTCTACCTCGATATCATTCCGAGCGTAGCGACTTTATAATCTTGTCGCGCGCAGCGCGCGCGCAGTCTGCTAACGGCGCGTGGTCTTAGGCAGCTGCGAAATTCGAGGCTTCATAAATAAATACATAAATATATCCTTGGTATCGTGATGTACGAGACCTCTTCGGCTTGGCTGAGCATTTTGATATTGTTTTTATTGACCGTGATCAGAACTAGTTTGTCTTTATTGTCAGGAGGTCACTAAAGACTGTTCACGGCTACCTTATATTTCTTGTTTAGAGATTGTCCACCTCGCGTATGAAATTATAATTACTGACCCTAGCGTAGGATTGTGGGGTTAGGAAAAAGAGAAGATAGGCTCCCTTCAGTCTCTCGCTCCGTGCTCGCTATTGCTCAGCGTGCTTGTCGATTTTTGAAAAAAAAAGAAGAAATAAAAAAACAATGAAGTCTGTGTAACTTCATTTTAAAAATCCCCTTTCTTGTGAGCAGTAACTAAATAAAGCACGAAATTTATGGAACAGAAATTGGAAATTAGAAAAAATATTTTAGCAAACACAATCAAGAAGGGCAAACGTATATCTTGATCCACGAATAAATGTTAGCATGTGTCTGACCAAAAAAAATGCGAAACGGAAACGCAAACTTCTCTCCGCTTATAAGCCCCTCCGAAAAAAAAGAGAACAAGCGCGGGCGTGGAGCCACGCCTTTTTTAGCAATGGCTTTGTCAGGAGCCTAGGATACGCGCAACGCAATGTACTGTTCGTAGGTAGATATCAACACCAAAATTTGTACTATTAGACAAGGGGTCAATCTCTCCTTTCAAAATTGAGATCTGATCTTCAGAAAGAGGGCAATTAGGTTGTAACACAGTCACAGTTTCATTGTCATCGTTGACACACAAATCTGTGCTGTCCCTTCCTACTCCATACACTGTCAAATCGGGGTTCAATATGTCCTGGACTGCGGTGTACCCCCGATAGGCGTCACCTATTACGCCAGCTATCCATATCTGATACGGGGTTTTATTCCCTTCCGTTCTTAGGCAATGATGATTCCAGCCCAGGCGAAATCCTTCCAATGCTCTATTGATGCGTGGAAGAAATGCGTAGTGAAGGCAGAAAACATCTGTGTCATTAGAAAGATCGAGAATCCCTTCATTCTCCATGTGGTCGAACACCGTGTAAAAGCTGGAGAGACAACACCGTGTAGTGTCCCTGTGCAGCCTCTCAATACGTTGATTGTGCACAGACGAACCTTGTATATGTGAACCTCGATCTCGCCCCCTAATCGACTCCATGAATCTGCCGACATCAGCGTTTTCCCCTCCGTGATCAGAGCGAACACGCGACGGTATCCCATACCTTCTTGTACCATCGATAAAGGTGGACATGACAGTTTCTGCTCGATTATTCGTTGCACATCTCAGGAAAACGACAAGCCTTGAGAACCCGTCAATACCACCGTGAACTACAAACCCCCAACGAATAAGTTTGTGTAATCCATCTATGTGCCATAGTGCATTAGGTCCAGGAACGTCGTATTGATATCTGGGATGCATAGCTCGCCAGCGAAGAGCTGTGTTGATTAGGTCAATGCGACGAATGATATCTCTTACGCGATGTCTAGGAACGTGTATACCCCTGGAACGAAGGATGCCAATAACCATTCTCTCCCCAGTATTTTCAAATTCTGCTTTTAAGCCAGCCACTTGTTGCTCGAGATCGCTGTCAGAAATAATGGTAAATCTACTTTCTCGGAAATTATAATTAACCTCTTTCAGCCTCCTCCATAGTGTAGTTCTTGAAAAACATAACGTGTGGCATATCCTTGTCCATGTAAACTGAGAGCTGCGAAGATAGTCTATCTGGGTTAAGTTAATGACAAGCTTAGGTCTCCCAACCGAACCATTACGATGTACGAGAGTTTCCGAAAATATTGAAGAGCTATAAAAGGTAGAATCAACTGATTGTAACTGTCGCTCAACATCATCAATAAGATGCTGTATGACATTGCTCAGCCGCTTGACGTTTCCTTGAACATTCTCAGAAACAGAAGTATCTACTCCAGAGGCAACAGCAGCTCCGATTAACCTTTCGCATGCTGTTCGTTTTGCTTGAAGTCTGAATAAAAAATCTTGTAACGTGTTTGAATCAGATAATTGTATCCTATGCTCCACTTGCCGACATAAAGCCTCAACAGATTCGAGGAAACTATGCCAATCGAAACTTTCGCTCATGTTTCTTCCAATCTTAAAAAAAGCGGCAGATTCAATTGATTGAAAAGTAATAATTTTTTCATTCCCGACATGAGAAACAGGAAAGGCCTTACAAATGATCTAATAAACGCCCCCTCTCTAATGAATGCCTCCTATCTTATTAACGCCCCCCTAAGCTGACAAGTTTGTATTAAACGCCCCTCCGAACAAACGCCCCCTGTCTAAGAAACGCCCCCCTTCCCTTAAAACCACACATAAACTGGAAACAGATGTACAATACAAGCAATCAATTTATTTGCGTTCTTGCTTAATTAACACCGGTGTGCGAGTTGCGTCTTGCTCAATAACAACTACCAGTACGGTACCCTTTTACGCCACTTTGAATGTACCATATACCGTTATGGATTTGTAGACGGTTTAGAATTATTAGCGGACGAACTTGATAGTCTGCTAAAGCTCTGTCATTTAGATTATTATAATACCGTATTTAGGTTACCCTGTTACAGTTATTAGAATAAACGCCTCTCTCTTTTAAACGCCTCTTATCTTTTAAACACCCTCCCCCCCCCCCGCCCCCTTGGACCCTTGAAATTTAATAAACGCCCCCGGCGTTTATTAGATCATTTATGGTAAATCCCTAGATTAAAGAATACACATTTCCGGATTAAATCAGAAGCACTCACGTTGCTTACAGCTGCTGACTAGTGTAAAAAGTATAATAACAAAAATGACCACCACGTATACACTAATTTACTTCAACTTAGAAAATGTTACAGGTAGACAATGTTACATAACAAAATTACATAAATGTTCCATAACGGTAGTAAAATCATATCAAGGTAGAAAATGTTGCATCACGGCAGTAAAATGATATCAAGGTAGAAAATGTTGCATCACGGCAGTAAAATGATATCAAGGTAGAAAATGTCGTATCACGGCAGTAAAATGATCAAGGTAGAAAATGTTGCATCACGGCAGTAAAATGATATCAAGGTAGAAAATGTTGCATCACGGCAGTAAAATGATATCAAGGTAGGAAATGTCTCATGACAGCAGTACAGTGATATCAAGGTAGAAAATGTCGAATCACGGTAGTAAAATCATATAAGGTAGAACGGCAGTAAAATGATATCAAAGTAGAAAATATCGCATCACGGCAGCAAAATGATATCAAGGTAGAAAATGTCGCATGACAGCAGTACAGAGATATCAAGGTAGAAAATGTCGAATCACGGTAGTAAAATCATATAAGGTAGAACGGCAGAAAAATGATATCAAAGTAGAAAATATCGCATCACGGCAGTAAAATGATATCAAGGTAGAAAATGTCGCATCACGACAGTAAAAAGATATCAAGGTAGAAAATGTCACATCACGGTAGTAAAATCATATTAAGGTAGAAAATGTTGCATCACAGCAGTACAGAGATATCAAGGTAGAAAATGTCGAATCACGGTAGTAAAATCATATAAGGTAGAACGGCAGAAAAATGATATCAAAGTAGAAAATATCGCATCACGGCAGCAAAATGATATCAAAGTAGAAAATGTCGCATGACAGCAGTACAGAGGTATCAAGGTAGAAAATGTTGCATCACGGCAATAAAATGATATCAAGGTAGAAAATGTCGCATCACGGCAGTAAAAAGATATCAAGGAAGAAAATGTTGCATCACGGCAGTGAAATGATATCAAGGTAGAAAATGTTCCATCACGGCAGTAAAATGATATCAAGGTAGAAAATGTTGCATCACGGCAGTAAAATGATATCAAGGTAGAAAATGTTGCATCACGGCAGTAAAATGATATCAAGGTAGAAAATGTTGCATCACGGCAGTGAAATGATATCAAGGTAGAAAATGTTGCATCACGGCAGTAAAATGATATCAAGGTAGAAAATGTCGCATCACGGCAGTAAAATGATATCAAGGTAGAAAATGTTGCATCACGGCAGTAAAATGATATCAAGGTAGGAAATGTTTGATCACGGCAGTAAAAAGATATCAAGGTGGAAAATATCGCATCACGGCAGTAAAATTATATCAAGGTAGAAAATATCGCATCACGGCAGTAAAATGATATCAAGGTGGAAAATGCCGCATCACGGCAGTAAAGTGATATCAAGGTAGAAAATGTCGTATCACGACAGTAAAATGATATCAAGGTAGAAAATGTCGCATCACGGCAGTAAAATGATATCAAGGTAGAAATTGTTGCATCACGGCAGTAAAATGATATCAAGGTAGAAAATGTCGCATCACGGTAGTAAAATGATATCAAGGTAGAAAATGTTGCATCACGGCAGTAAAATGATATCAAGGTAGAAAATGTCGCATCATGGTAGTAAAATGATATCAAGGTAGAAAATGGTCCATCACGGTAGTAAAATGACATCAAGGTAGAAAATGTTTCATCACGGCAGTAAAATGATATCAAGGTAGAAAATGGTCCATCACGGTAGTAAAATGATATCAAGGTAGAAAATGTTATGTCACGGTAGTAGAACGATTATTAAGGTACAAAATGTTACATCACGAACCGTAAAATGATATCAAGGTGAAAAATAACAATGGTTGGTTGATGCTATCACAGAAACATTTTATTGGATATGTCACAACCACATTAAACAATACCTTTGCAAATAATTTTGAAACAAACGGCGCGCCATAAATCAGCCTATAAAGTTATTAAAGTAATACGACGATAAAGCTGCTGATATCAATCACTCAGCATACTCATGTTGAAGAGTAGCGCATAAGAACCCTTAAAACCACTGTAGCTCCGTGATGACAAGACTAAATAGATTTCTCACATAAACAGAAAAGATTACAACAACGATGTTGCAAGTCGATAACCAAAACTAAGCTCTATTATTCCTATAATGACATCGATGCTGAAAAAACTAAAAAGAAAAGGAAAACTATACTCACTTTGGTTTACACACACACCGGTGTTATCTTGAATCAAAAGCTAAGCTGAACTTGATAGTTGATGAGCACGAGTGTAGATAGAAATGAAGCCCCAATGGCTGACAGAAGTTAACACCATGAAGTCTACACTAGAACTGCACTAAGATGAAAACGCTAAATTTGTAATAAAGAAAACGTGCTTGAAAACGATCTAGAAATTATTACGTATTTCCCAGGCGGACATAACAAAAAAGGGCTGGGAAAGTAGCCGTGGGCTTATCAATAAAAATCATCATTTATGTAGGCGATAATCGATTTACAATAACTACCGTAAGCACGTTCATGCACCAATTGGCTGTGGTCACACTTGAGACTTTACGTTAGTAAAAGGCTTTAACCGTGGTAAAAAGGATGTAAAAAAACTTTACTATAGTAAAACTCATTAGATGACTTAACACGTTCCAGATGGTTTCCTAAGAGAAATGTGTCACTCAAATGATGAGCCTGAGGACAGGTGATAATTCTTACGACATTCCATGAATGTTTTATTTTTCATCCAGTTGCGCGACTCTCTGTACATCTTTATCTCTAATTCTGCTGAATGGAACCCCGTCATGGAACCCCAACGTGTTATTTCGTTAATTGTCGCTCTTTTGTTTCTGATTATTGCCATCAGAAAGGCCCAGAGATTGCGATTTTTAGCTCTCTACTTCCTCCATAAAAGGAGGCATCGCCATATCACCCATGCTCTTTTGGTAACAAAAATCAAAAGGTTGCAACATCGGCAGAGAAAAGCTTCGGCAAGACGACGGCGTGTCGTGTGGTCATATCCAAGACCACAAGGATGGTTTGAAGAAATGTATCGTAACCCAGGTATGTCTACGTTGTGGAAAAATCACTTCAGGGTCTCAAAGGACACATTTGATTACATATGCCAGCTGGTCGGGCCTGAACTTTCAAGGCAAAATACTCGTTTAAGAAGAGCTATTCCTCTCGCAAAACGTGTAGGCATGGCGTTATGGCGTTTAGGAACCGGAAATTCATACAGAACAACTGGAATAACATTTGGACAGGGAAAATCTACTGTGATAAAAATATGCGAGGATTTTATGGAAGCGTTGATTCGTCGTAAAAACGAATTTATTCGATTTCCTGAAGATACCAGAGATGTTGCACATGCTATGCGTAAAATGGAAAATGTTGCTGGCTTGCCAAATGTAGTTGGAGCAATAGATGGGTCCCATATATCAATTAAAGCACCTCATGTTAACCACGAGGACTATTTTAACAGAAAACAGAACTATTCCATGAATCTTCAAGGTGTTGTGGATGCTGATGGGAAATTCATCGATGTTAGCACAGGATGGCCTGGCAGTATTCATGACGCCAGAGTTTTACGATTGAGCACACTGTACAGAAGGGCTGAAAATGACCTTATCCTTAATGAACCAGTCAGACATATCAATGGAGTAACCGTTCGTCCTCTTCTTATTGGAGACTCGGCCTACCCTTTGTTGACATGGCTAGTTGGTCCTTATCCTCAAAGTCGAAATCTGAGCAGGGAACATTGCAAGTTCAATAAAATCCTAAACAAGACTAGGGTAATCGTTGAAAGAGCATATGGTAAACTGAAGTCTCGCTGGAGGTGCTTATTAAAGGCACTAGAAGAGAACACTGGCAAAGTACCTTTCACCGTAATAACTAACCTGCTGTATTCTGCACAATATTTGCATTCTTCTAGGAGATGACTTAGATGACAGCAATTTGTCTAGTGATGATGATGACGACGACGAAAATGATGATGACGACAATGGACCTGCTGCCTTTGGACAGGGGCGAAGAATACGACAAGCACTAACTGAATTTCTCGGAGCTTAAAGACTTGTATTAAGTGTGAACTTGTTTTTTGACGCAAACACCTGTTTTCAAACTTTTGGTTTTGTTGGATTGCTACCGCTAGTCATGGGCGATTTGGTCTTGAAAGGTCTATTTATGTACATAGTAGTATTACTTTTTCCACAATTTAAACATAATGCGTCACCAGAACTTGTTTTCCTGTACTGGTCGCGGGTGGGTATTTAGGTTTCGTTTTTGCCAGGGTTGCAAACCCTCAGCAACATCCCTACGCCATAATTTGAATCAAGAGCCTCCCTCCCTGCGTGTCATATACCAGTCTTGCAGCCTGTTCAGCATGAACGGTAAATAAGTCATGTTCTTTTATAAAAAAAATGTTGAAAAATTATAATTTTATTGTAATCGTGAAAAATGTTATTAGCTTATTAGAATTTTGAAAAATGAAAAAAGCATGCAAGATGAAACCAAAGCGATCACTGATGTCTATTATTTTACGATGAACAGTATCTTTCGTCATATTTGAAAATAAAGTTTGTCAAACTGGAACACAACTCTAATGTTTGTACGACTGTACGATACTAGTTCTTAAAGAGTGCATCTCATTAGGTTACTTTTTCAGAATTTCGCCTAGCTCGCGGATAGCACCGAGAACTAACTCTTGGGTGCGGTTGTCTGACTCTCGCAGGTAGTCAAAAAGTTCTCTCCTTTCTTCTTCTGTCTTCCTTAAGGCCTCCGTTTGCGCTTTGATTAGCTCAGCATACATTTCATCCTCTTCATCTTCTTTCTTGGCCCCTTTTTGCGCTTTCTGCTTTGTGTTTTTTGGTGATTTGCCCTTTTTTTTGGAATCTGGTTGTTTTTGCTTCTTTTTGAAAAACAAACTAGATGAATATTCTAAATCCTCATCTTTGTTGCTGTCATCGTTATTCGAAGGCTGACTTCGTTTTCTTTTCTCTTGTCCACGTCCCTTTTCTGTTTTTTCACTCCTAGAAGGTCTGGCAATTGCAGAAGACAAGGATAGGGTTTCATCCATTTCATCACTGCTATCCTCGAGGGGGCCAAACGAAGTACCATCTCCACTACCTGGGGAAGACATGGAGGAATTTGGACTTGGTGTGGCGATGGCTGACTTAGACGTTCCTGCCTCCATTACATACTTAGGATTCACAGAATCTCTTGTTCCCCAAATCTGATCTAATTCATCAAACTCGGGAAATGATTTGATGTTTTCGCTGCCCTCCCCTATCATTTTGCTTTTGTCTTTCACGTTCTTGTATTTTTTGCTGAGATTGTTTATTTTATCACGGCAATTCTTGGCTGACTTTTGGCAATGTATATTAAGGACTTCTTTAGACTCTTCCGCTAATCTGGCTTCTATTTTCTCCCACATGGAATCCAGGTTTCTTCCTTTATCTCTGTTCTTATATTCCTCTCCATAGATTGAAATGAGAAGCTTGACTTCTCCTTCTACCCATCGATTGCGTGACTGCTCTGCGCTTTTCGGCTTTGGGTCACTTGTCTGAATTGTGTGCCCTTGCAGCGTTGCGGTACTTTCTCTCGGCACCAAATCATAAGGCAAATGGTTGTCATGTCTCATTTGGAGAGTTGCATTCACTGGAAATTGTGCCGCTGCTGATACTGCTTCTATCCCATTATTTTCTCGGCCAAATATAAGCGGTCCATGCTGAAGTACTTCGCGGCCGTGATCGTCTGAAAAACCGCCCGGTGGGATTACGAAACTATTGCGGAATGGTGGAACTCTAAAGTGAAAAGAACATGCAGTTTTCTTTAAAAAGTGTGCCACCCAAAATCCATATGCATTTGTTTTCAGACAACAGATGGAAAAAATTTGGCTACACGGAATTAAAAACACTTGAATTGAATGATTTACTTCTAAATTTATGCTCGACTCACAAATGAAACACGAACATTAGATGTAGGCGTATGATTCCTTGAAATCCAGAATTTACTGTGGACTTACCTCGAATGAAAGCGAAAATTGTCTGACCACTGTGACATCTCTACTGTACTGTTTGGCGCGAAAAAAGGAAAAGAATAGGCTGGCGGCGCTAAAAATACATGTATAAGTATTCAGCAACGTGACACTCAGGGAACGCATCTCAAATAATGCGACAAGATGTCAACTGAATAAACAAAGTTTAGATATATCAGCGATAAACCATATCGTTTTAGGAAAGTTTACTATGGTAAACTTTGCCTTCATCCTACCGCCGTTGCCACCGCAACAGACTAGATCTGTGTTTACCATAGTAAAATGAGAAAAGCCGGTCACATTAGAAAACGTGTTTACAGTAGTAAACTCGATTTTGCTATAGTAGAAAAAGCCCAAGTGTGACCACAGCCAATAAGGGATAACGAAAGGAAATCACGTTTCAAAACCAACATCCTCTAATGATGGCTATAAACTGAAAAGCACATACACAGGAACCTATCTGAGTGTCTGTTATAAAAATTTTGAAATTTAGTAACTTATTTATTATCTCTGGCAATTAGTCAGTCTGAGTTCGTAATCATAACAAACAATATTCTTTGGTGTTGCATCCACACGCAAGCGTTTCCATATATTTTGTCCATGAACTCACTCCGAAACTTGTTTGCTGCCCTGGCAAAACAGTTTAGACCATTTATTTTTGTTTTGTTTTTTTCAATTCCTTTCTTTAATTGTATTGCTTTTGTTTTCTTCTGTTTTTTTTTTTCCTTAAGAGACTTTCATGCCTGCAAAATAAGTTTTTTGTGGACGCTTACTTGCATGTTGATGAAATACGAGTGCAGTGACCATGAAAATAAAATCGCTTAAATCGTACTTTGGAATCATGACCTTCTTATATCGTTTCGACTTTTGGTAAAGTTAATCCTTGCTTGGAGCTGGAGTTTAATTGCCAAATTAGCTTATTAGAGGTCAGCTTCCTGTACGGGGAAAGACTTCACAAGACCAAGTGTGTATAGATGCTTTTGTGCAACGAGTAGCAACTGCGTTATTTTTCCAATTAAGGTACATCTGCATATTATAAAGTTCCTGTTAGGTTAGACTTGGAGCAAATAAAATCATTTCCCAAAAAGTGTACCGCAGTTTTGCAGGGCATACTCTGGTTATTTAAAATGTTCAAAGCCATCGCTTAACTGGCAATCAATGAAAGGCAATTATACGTAACAACGCATTTAATTTCCAAGTCGCGGGGGCGAAATGATAATTTCGCGAGGTGATCGAACGTGATTCATTAGTTTATACTACTACATGAGACATTTCTGCAATTTGATTGGCTTAGAACAGTGGTATTTCACCTTAATTTGAAATACCTGCATGTGAAAATTTCAAACCTTCTACGGGTAGTAGTATAAACAATTAATAACATGATTTGTACGTGACATTTGGCGTAAATACCACTCGTGATATTTCAAAATTGTCTCAAATGTCACTCGCCTAACGGCTCGAGAAATTACCTATAACAATTTTGAAATATCACGCGTCGTATTTATGCCAAATATCACTACAAATCATGCTATTACCTATACAAATGAAATGGAGTTCCGAGAGGGCATGTCCGACTATAAAAGTTACAGGGCTGTTTTTTCACTCAGTTTACAATAACACATGGCTTGGTTGAGCTCATTATAAGGTAATTTCAACGAGAAGCGACTAATTAAGCGCAATGTACTTTTTAGTATACCTCATTGCGCATATAATTAGTAACGCTAAGGCTTCACGAAAAAAAATAATCAAGAACATTTTAACCTTAAAATTTGGGCTGAAAGGTTTGACTTCCGTAGATTGACGGGGAAGATGCAATTTCAACGCTGTGCAATCTTCTTTAAACGGGCTTTCAGAATTCCGTGCTTGTTTAAGTTACATAATGTAGTAGAATGGGAAATTGTTCACCGATTTGTAGCGAAATGGCGACTGTGGTTATCAAGTAAGGCGAACAACAATACTTACCCTTTAAGTCCACTTTCTGCAGACTGTTATGGTCCGATAGGATCTGTCCTAAGTCGAAGTTACACTTGACACTTTAATGAATCTGTCCTCGTGTTAGGAAAATAGTTGTTATTTTGCATGTAACAGTGCAATTGTTACTATAATTGGGTACTGGCCCGGAAAAGGTGGTGCCAAATAACGGGCAATATGGAACGTAATAACTAAATTCCATATTGGTTCGCGATCTGCCCCCACATTTTTTGCACGCAATACATATTGGATTACTAACATTGCCCTTGCTAGCTGATCTGCACCATACTGCTTGCCGCCTGGTTAGCTCATTTGGGAGAGGGCCGGACGGCTGAGCAGGAAGTCGTGAGTTCAAACCGTTGCCAGACCAACAGTCAGGGCCTTTAAATTGAATATAGTACTGAATATAGTAATGAGTTCTACTAGTATATTAGAGCATAGTGACTCTCCGTTTTTAGAGAGCTTAAGATGTGAGGACGAGGACGAATACGAGTACGACATTTAACTTAAACGTTTTTTCGCGTATTGTCAAAAAATATTCAACCCGGAAATCTTGGTTGTTCTATTTTTCACCTGAATAATTAGACAAGTGCGGTTATTTTTATTGGAGAGGGTTTAGCCCTATCCCGGTTGCAAAATGATGAAACTTTCTAAAACTCGATAACTTGTTCCCGCCACTACGACATTCTCGCTAAAACGCGTAGTAGAATGACGACGGCTACCGACGTTTTCGCGCCAAACTAAATAACGTCGGCTCACTCTCAAGCACTACTTAGTACTGAGAAAACCTCGCACTCTTAGTCGTCTTCGACTCACATGAAGCCTTCTTAGTACTCTGAACTCGACTGAACGGTCTACTTCAGTTTGGCAGGGACGTTTTCCAAAAAAAATGTGAGACAGTAGCACAATAAAGGCGTGAAAAAGGAAACAAAGAACAAAAAATACATGCAGAAAGCGAAACACGAACGGCGTCGGGCTCTAATTATATATGGCCATTAACAATCATGATGATTACGTTCGATTTGACTTTTCTCTAATGTTATGTAACTTTTAAAGATAAGCTGCGAAGCAGAGCAGTAAAAAGACTCGGCCAGCTGACTGCTGACAAAAAAAAACAGAAGAAAACTAGCTCTATATGACAGCAAGAGAGGATAACGTAATTCGAAATTCGATTGATGGGTGCAAAGATGTAATTAATCTGTCTCTTGACTTGTCCCTAGACTCGTCCCTCAGTCCGTAAAAGAGACGTGATATTCATCCTACTCGGCCAACGCCTTCGTCTACAGAGAACCCCCTGATCTAGCACTGTGAGCAGAGGCCTAGGAAGATCGAAGGACCTCTACACGCAGGGTACCCCTTTTTTCAAAGGAAAAATAGCTCAAATGCAGCTCTACAACAAAGCTTTGACTCAGAACCAGATACAAACGATACAAAAACGTGTCTCAGGTAAGAAAGCTACAAAGTTCCCTTGTGGGAAAAAAAACAGTTAAGGACTTTAACCGAATAATAAAAAAAATTGAAAGTTTGCTGCGGTTTTAGGATCACCCATTAAGAAGCTCTCACTGATTCTCTTGTTCATGGACATTGAATACTGTCACAAAGAAGATCCTGGTTTTCTTTCCATTCAACTAACACTTTAAAGGAAAAACGTTTCAATAGTTTTTATTCAACTACTGCTACTTAAGAGTTTGTTTCCTATTGAGAGATTCTAGCGATTCCTCGCAAGTTTATTTGTTGCACAAAATTTTCAGCTTCCTCTGCATTATCCTTCCGAATCTCTTGGGTCGGTCTCCTTTCCTGTAATTATAAAAATGTCTCCTGATTTCATATTTTCCATGTCAGTCGTGTTGTAGATAGGCATAGTGATATTTTTCTTTTTTTCTCCCACTCAGCATGATCCTAGAGAGAGCAATAACCTAGTAGATTTCATGGCATCAAATTGAAGAGCATTCTGGCAGTTTAGATTTCCTGTAGTTTTGTTTTTGTTGTTGTTTTTTTAATAAAGTTCCGGTAACCGTAAATGTTGTGCAGTATAATAATTGCTACGTTTGCTCTTGCATGGAAGTTATTATGCCCGCACCGATGGTGGATACATGTATGACTTTCTCCAGCGTTTTTTCGCCTATTCATGAAGAAAGTTTACATGTATCCACCATCGGTGTGGGCATAACAAGAGCAAACGTCGGTCAAAGCTGATGGAGAGTGAGCTCAGATTTGAACACCACAAGCCATGCTGTTTGTTCCAATGACGAACTGGCCCTTGACTTAGAAGATGGTGAAAATAAAATGATCCCTTAGCTTACAGGTTATTTTTTCTAAGTTTTTCCGCGAGGGTAATTATCAGGGAAGCGAACGTTCCACACCGGTTTTGTGCTAAGGACCGGTTTGCGCTGATGCCTCAGCCTGAGTCTCCGAACATTTGTATAAATGAAAAGTCCTTCGTCAAAGGATAGCTAGTTTTATCGGCCATGTGTTCAAACTGCATGACTTATGCTGCCATGGTTGATATACTCATTCAAGACGAAAAGCTGAATTACTGTAAC